TCTCGTTACCTTAAAAATTTATGATTTCAAAATCACACTAAAGGCTCTCATAGATACTGGAGCCGATCAAAATTGCATTCAAGAAGGCCTAATACCTACAAAGTATTTTGAAAAAACTACTGAAGGCCTTAGAGGTGCTAACAACAACAAACTCAAAATTAATTACAAACTATCAAAAGTTCATGTTTGCAATGATGGAATTTGCTTCGTAAATTCCTCCCTTTTAGTAAAAGACTCAGGACAAGAACTAATCCTAGGTACTCCTTTCATTACTCAATTATATCCTTTTAGAATAACTGAAAAGGGGTTAGAATCAAAAGCCTTAGGAAAGAAGATAAAATTTAACTTTCTTTCCCCCATAAGGATTAGCGAAATAAATAACCTTCAAAAGAATACAATTATTCAGTAAATAAATGTATTAAATTATAAAGAAAAACAAATTTCCTTTTTTAAAGAAGAAATTTCATTCAAAAGAATAGAAGAACAAATTCAAAATAAGACTGTCCAGTCTAAAATCAAAACTTTACAAACTCAATTAGAAAGAGAAGTTTGTTCAAATATCCCAAATGCCTTTCGGAATAGGAAACAACACATAGTTGATCTTCCAAAAAATCAAATCCCTTGTCAAGTCAATTCCGTGTTTATCGCTGATAAACCCAAGGGCTAGTTTAATAGTGGAGACCGACGCATCCGATATTGGATATGGAGGAATCCTAAAACAGTCCCTTGACAAGAAAGAATCCATTGTCAATTTCCATTCAAGAATATGGAATTCTACTCGAAAAAATTATTCAACGGTAAAGAAAGAAATACTTTCAATAGTACTTTGTGTACAAAAATTTCAAAGTGATTTAATTAACAAAAGTTTTGTTATCAAAACCGACTCAAGAGCATCTAAATTTGTTTTAGAAAAAGATGTCAAAAATCTTGTGTCTAAATAAATTTTTGCTAGATGGCAAGCCATTTTATCTTGCTTTGACTTTCAAATTTTGCTATAAAAGGGATCGAAAACTCCTTGGCAGATTACCTCTCAAGAGAGTTCTTACTCTCAAAAGAAAAATTCTCCATTCTCCCTAACCAATCTATCTCCCAGCAATGACCGGAAAGAAAGCGATAGACAAAGGGAAGAAGCCCAATGCTTCTTCAAGCACACTTACTCCAATGACATCCGACAGCTATGCAATGGATGCTGGTTTCACATTGGTGACCAGATCTAAAGCAAAGCTTTCTCAAAAACAGGCGGAGGTTATCCCTCCGACGAGGCCTTCAGCCTCTTCAACACGGCCATCTGCCGTTACTCCATCAAGACCCACTGTCTCTTCCACTTCAAAGGGACCTTCTGTCCCCTCGACCTACTCGGACGCGGTTGTTCCCGTTCGTTTTTCTCCAGTTCCTGAAATCAAAACCTATTTTCAAAAATCTGTGTCCATACCAGAAGCTCTGGTAGAACCAGAATACGATGAACCGAAAATCGGCGAAGTCATTAAAAAAGTATATCCATCGGGATTCTTTTATATCCCAGAAGATCTTCATAAAACCAGAAGGTTTTATGAATTCATTCTAGTCGACACAAAATCCGTCGAAATTACTCATATTCCGAGTCGCGATTGGAATTTTCAAATTAAAGAGACCGAAGACCAAATAAAACAGGTCTTCAAAACTATCAAAATCAAATGGTGGGATAAATATACTTATACCCACGCAGACATCAAAGCGGTAAAGGTCTGGCTATCTGAGAATGGCCACCTTCAGGATTTATCCAAGAAGAAGACCTCCGAATTCCTTAATTCAAAGTCGAGGCTACTCGCCGCTTTAGCCCAGACAACTTCGGAAGCTGATTTTCAAAAGCTTCTTCAAGAAGCCGCATCAGTCGGTTCGACGTCTTGTCCTTCTATTATAGAAGAAGAAGATGAAGACACGATCTATGATCTCAATGATCCATTTTTGGATTCACAACTACCTTTGTAGATATCATCATCTCAATGACTGAATAGTCGTTAAACTAATTGTTAAAAAAAAAAATTCAAATCCGTGAATGGAATATGTTCAATCCCTGGTTTCCCGGTAGAACCCCATTTGGCCCAAGTTGTTGCGAACCCAGCAAAAATCATTTTTCCTTCTTTTGGCACCTTGACCTTTTTGGTTTTTCTCATTATTAATGTACTTTTTCTTATTTCATCATTAAGCATTAGTTTATAAACATGTATGTTAATTAAGCTAGGACGATAGAGCTCATGTAAATCGTAAGGGCTCAAGTCATTAAGCATTAGTTTGGAATAATTACATATCCGTTCGAGAATTACGATCTTTGGCTTTGGAACTGAATCATTTCCCTGTATCTGAGAAGAACTTCCAGATTAATAGGATGGAAGCTTAATCAAAATGATTCAGAAAATTTTTTCTATGATCGATCGGTATAAACATCAACAACTCCGAATTGGATTAGTTTCTCCTCAACAAATAAGTGCTTTGGCCAATAAAACCCTACCTAATGGCGAGATAGTTGGAGAGGTAACAAAACCCTATACTTTTCATTACAAAACCAATAAACCTGAACAAGATGGGTAGAAGGAATAAGTACAATTTTGAATGTTTTACTTATGTTACAAAGTAACAAACATTAGATTTTTCAGTCATTCATTGAATGATAAATCACAAGTGACGAGATACACGATTTAAATAACGGAAGATCCAATATTTGAAAATTGTGTCTAGAATGACCGGAAAAGTGGAAACAAGACCGGATATAATTTGATCATTATGAGAAAATCCAAAATCTTTGTAGACAGAACCAATCATTAGTTTCCAACCATGGGGCGAATGGAATCCTATACATAAATCAGTTAATAAAAGAATAGAAAAAGCTTTTATTGTGTCGCTTAAATTATATAGGAACTCTTGAACCCAAGAGTTAAGAATAACAAGTTCTTCATTACCAAGAATAGAATAACCACTTAGAATAATGAAACAAATTATATTTGTCTAGAAGTGCAAAATTGTACGGATACCATCCTCATTGTGCATCTTGATCAATTGGATCGTTTCTTTGTAGATTCCGATACGAAGCTTTTGTAGATGTGTTCCTGGGTATTCCTTTAACATTTTGTCCAAGAGAAAGAGTTCCTCTAATTCTCTAACTTTTTTTATAATACTCTTTTCTTGAATATCATTCAAAAAAATTTGGAATTGAACAGTATTCCACCAATTATTAACCCAAGATTCTAGGTTTTTATTAAATAAAAGAGAGATCCACCAGGGCAAAAATACTATAGATGCAAGATATAGAAGGGGAATGAATGCTTTCTTTTTTGCCATTTTTCGTCTTTGATTTTTTAATGAACTCACTTCATTCGTTACCTCTCTACACTACTAATATTTATATCAAACATAAGTTCTATTACAAGTCATATGGATACTATTATGAATCCATTCCCTGTTTTTTAGTTTTTGATTTGTGATTCATTAATTAATCCTTGAATTTCGAAATAATACAGAAAGAAAATATCAAAGAATCCACTTTTGTTACTGTGGAGTTGATTTACATATGCCTAAAAATTTTGGACAAAGACTATTTTCTGTCTATTCCGTATACGTCTGCTTTGGCTCAAATGAGCATTCAGAAGAAATTCCCATTAAGTTATACTATTACTATGGCCTATAAAAAAGACTATTCTTTCTTTCCAGTTTTATCCCTCTTGCTATGAACTAAGAAAGCATTCATTCTGAACTTCATTTTTCAAAAAACTTCAATTGGTACATGCAAGAAATAGGCCAATTCGGCAGCCTTTTGCTCAATTTCTCGTGGGGTTAGATTCTAATCGGTACGAGTCAAGGGAGAGGCCAAGGAGGAAGAAGAAATCGCAAAATCTTATAATTTACATCAAGTCATTCAATATTTCCTTTTTTAGAGGATAAATTACCACATTTAAATTATGTGTAAGATGTATTAATCCCCTATCCCCTTCATTTGGAAATTTTAGTTCAAATCCTTCCCTCCTGGGTGAAAGATACAGATAATGACAATTTATACCGGAACCAATAGTTATCTTGATTCATTAGAAATTGAACAAGTACTTGAGCATGTTTCCCATCTCTTCTCGAGAAACAAGTGGGCTATTTCTTTGCAAAATTGTGCTCAATTTCATATGTTGCAATTCTGCCAAGATCTCTTCTTTAGTTGGGGGAAGAATCCGCATGAATCGGATTTTTTGAGTAACATATCGAAAGAGAATTGGATTTGGTTAGACAATGTGTGGTTGGTAAACAAGGATCGGTTTTTTAGCAAGGTACGGAATGTCTTGTCAAATATTCAATATGATTCCACAAGATCTAGGTTAATTTATTATTTGTTACTTTGTGGGCCGTCCTATTATTTGCAGGTGCAGTTGCTAAATCTGCTCAATTTCCTCTTCATGAAAAAAAATGGATCCACTTTCATTTCCATTTGGTATTTTGGCTTAAAGTCTTTGACTCCTCCATACTCAATCAAATCCTCTGTTTTGAAGATTGAATGCATCCCTATAGTCCCATATTTAGTAATTCCTGAACTATTTCTTCTGTATTGAGGATCATCGAAATAAGCAACAATACTATTTCTATGAAAAATACCATTTATGGGTATTTCAATCGAAATACCGGAAGGGGGTGGTAGTTCTTTTTCTCGTTCTTGAAGTGATTCAAATTGAATGATGAATCCATTTCTTCGCCTCTTTGCCAATAAATCAGAATTACCGTGGAAAATAGTATGATATGTGAGATTAGATTGACCCGTACATAGGATTGGATTAAGTTCTGAATAATCAGGAATTCTGCTTTTGTTTTTACCAGAGAGAGATCCGGACCATAAAATTTTTGTCTCACTTTATCATTATTTACTAAAAGGCTAGAAAAATATCTTCTTTCGAAAGAAAGAGAATGAACGTTAATTTGATCTTGATCCTTGTAGAGTAAAAAAGGACTGCACTGCATCCACACGAACCTCCTGATAATATCCATAAATG